GCCATTGAATGTTACGACAAAGCAATTTCCATAAATCCTAAGTAGGATTTAGCGTGGAGTAACAAAGGTAAATTATATTATAATTTAGGTTATGCATTACACTAATTATAGAAATACTATGATGCACTCTAATGTTACGATTAAGCTCTTTCTATTAATATTAATCCTCTAAGACTATAACTTAAAGGTACTTATAACTTTAATTTATATTTAGCTGATTCACTATATGAAATAGGGAAGAAATCAGAAGCAAAACAGTTTTATTTGGCTGCATTGGAAAAAGGATCAAATGACAAAAATTACATTTAGAAATAACTATCAAAGTTATGAAGCATTATTATACAAATTATATTATTTATTACAAAGATTTTTTCTGACATTTCAGTTTTTTCAATTTCAAATATAGCTCAATTTTATTTATATAATAAATAAAAAAGAAAAATATTTTAAAACAAAACAAAAATATTGTTTCATAAACTAAAATGCTGAGAATGATTAATCAATTTATTCTTTTAAATTTAACTTAAGATTAATGTACATTCTATTTCTAAAGTTTAATCATTATAATTTAATTCAACATATCTTCGTCACATCAAAGACTTTAATGATAAAGAGGATATAAATTGTTATCAATTTTAGGGTGATATATTGATATAAATTAATAAATAGGCGGATCTCATTATAAAAATCTACTTTAATATATTCATAAATGCTAACTTTGACAATCTAAACAGGCTATACTTCTAAGTGATCTAAATAAAATCTTAATAATTTGATTGCATCTTTGTTAATAAAGTTATGACTTCTACCTAAGAAGTTAGAATATAGACAATCCTTTATATTTTTCGAGTGATTAGAATATTTTCAAATCAGAATCGAGAGTATCTGTTTAAAATAAGAAGATTATGCAGATTTTAATATTTTTGAAATTTGATGTACTTTCTTTGTATTTAATATTAAATGTAATTTAAAACACAGATATAAGATCTAAATCATTGATTGACATTCTAAAAATTGCTTATAAAAACTACTCTATTGCTACCTTGATGCAAAGGGTAGATTAACCTTTTTATAATGGAAAATGGCTCTTATAAGATTTTTATTTTAGAGTGCAGATTCTCATTAATATATATATATATATATTATACATTAATTATATTTAACAAATTTATTAATAGCAAATTATAATTTTGTAAATTAATAAGATATTAATTAAAATTGATAATCTAAAAAGAAAATAATAAGTTAACTAAGTGTCTGTGGCAACAAAAATTTAATGTGATGAAGCACATAATTAAAATAATCTTCAGATTCTTAATCATATGGATGCTCTTGGACTTAGAAAACAGATATAACTCTAGGATAAAGTGTCAAACTACATCATACCTCCAGTTTCTTTTAAACTTGAGGGAGAAACATGTAGATATTATTATTGTATTGATTTTGATTCTTCACTTATATCTCATGCAGCATGTAATATTTGGAAAGCTGGTAGATAATCAACTTGCAAGGATTTTACAGAATGTTTATAAGATGAAAATAAAAGTTTTGTAGATATAATTGCTCCATGAACAGCTTATACAAGTTGAAGATTTAAACATGGAGATACTATTTTTGTAATCAAAGTATAGCTACTAGTTGTGGATATACACTTACTAGTACTGATG